TCCTGTGATGCAACAACTTACCGCTTTAGCAATATCTACCTATTACGTGTGATAATGTGATTTATGTAGTAACTCGTTTCTTTCTTTGTCAAGTGTATTATTTTTATTATTTCCTTTGAAGTTTATTCCATTTTGTGACTTCGCACCAGGAAAAACCTTGGCTCTTTTTTGCTCCACGCCACATATATTCCCTTGCCCTGGTATGAATATCAGGTTTGGGTTAGAAAATATTCTGGCGTGGTTCGTGTAAGATTTCCTATGACTTGGTACATCCTGTACGTCTATAGGCTGAAATGAGTACCCACGTAATCTTGTGATACGTTGGATGATTCCCGTCCACAAGTTTTCATGTTCAATAACCATGTTTAGTATCTCGGTTTCAGACCAAATGTACCCATCTCTCTAATATCTACTATTGATACCAATGAATCATAGTACATGCACCATCTTAATTTTAAAACCGTTTCTTCTGACACTTTGTTTCTTATTCCTTTCGCAAAATTTAAATTTGAATACAATCCTAACGCCAACTCAAAATCCCACGCTAATGCAACAACGATCCGTGTTTTCCAGTGTTGTCCGTTTATTTTCTATTTTGTCATTTCCTTGAACCGAAAAACATTGTGTCATTCAAGAATGTTGAGTGGTCATGGAAGGAGTGCTGTTTGGTGTAATTGAAATGAACTGTGAACTGAAGTGTGTATATACTCGTGAAAAACCAAGTGGAATCAACTGTTTGAGAGGGCATGACTGGATTTTTTAGTGTTACAAAAACAAAAAATGAAGAATACTGTATCTTGTCTAGAGCTACAAGAACAGGAATACAACCACAGGGTTAAGATCTGCAAGATGAGGATGCTCACATAGCCTAGGTGGTGTTATCCCAAGAAGGCCAGGTATTCATACTAGTTAACATCCAATAATATGAGGATTGACCAAAAGCTGCATTCTACCTCAGGTTATGTTCAAAACATCTGACTTCACAAGAAACAATTGATAAAAGATTGTAGTACTGCACTACAATGAGTACTACTTCGTGAGAACCTTAGTCCTACTGGATTGTCCGCTACATAAATTAAAATCCATCACTATAAAAAATGACCGCGCAATAGCAATATTGTTGTTCAGATTTATTTGTAAAAAAGTGGAAGAGCAGTATGTTACCAATATACTCCTAAATGCAACGGGTGTAGTCTTTTGTTCTCAAGCTAATTTGTTTCGCTCATAGATCTTTGAAGCAGCTCAACCAATTCCTTTTTCAACATGCTGTTTTTGTGACTTATTCCCCTTTTTTTCAATTCTTCCTTGAGTTTTGCTTTTGTCCACGCAGAAAAAGCATCACTGATATGTGCACCTGCCGAAGCTTCGTTTTTTGGGAGTGCAGCCGATCTGTTTCTGCGACTGCGAACAGAGCCTTCGTCTTTTTCTTTGAGCATTTCGTCATGAGCAGGATGGCTCTTAGTCTTCCCTCTGGTTGATCTAGTGGATGTTCGAGTCTGGACTGAGGCATCATCATTACCATGACAACCACCTTTTTCTTTTAGAATTGTATCATGAATATGCGTCCTCCCAGCTGTACTTCTTGTTGATCTCGTAGATGTTCGGGTCTGAACTGAGGCATCTTCATCGTCGTCTTTATCTCTTGCACTGGGACGACTGGAAGACTTCTTCATCGAACTTCTGGTTGCTGTTGTATATGTTCGGGTCTGAACAGAGACTTCATCTTCCTTATCGCTACCTTTATCTTTCTCTTCTATTGCTCGTTTGCGTGCCGAAGATTTCCTAGTTGAGCTTCTGGTTGACCTCGTAGACGTTCGGGTCTGAACTGAGTTTTCACAATCTATATCGTCAATCTTTTGCTGTTTGGTTCTTGTGCGTTTGGTTGGCTTCCTTGTCGAGCTTCTTGTTGATCTCATAGATGTTTGAGTCTGCACTGAGCCTTCGTCATTAATGTCTTCATTCTCTGCATTTCTTGTACGAGCTGACGACTTCCTAGTTGCACTTCTGGTTAACCTAGTAGACGATTGAGTCTGAACCGAGCTATCATCGCCAATGTCTTCATCCTTCTGCGCTGTGGTTGTTCTCCGAACAGTCGCCTTCCTAGTCCCGTTTCTGGTTGATCTCGTTGATGTTCGAGTCTGAATAGAGCCTTCGTCATCATTTTCGGTATCATCTTTTTGTGAGCGGGCGCAAAGTTGTTTAGACTCCAATGGCAGAACAGTACTTCTACCCCTCGGCGGAGGTCTGGGAGGTAGACCCGATGACGAGACACTTCCTCCATCAGAATTTTTTGGTTTTCTCTTCCGATTTGATGTTCGTGTCGATTCCTGCTCGGGTTCGCCACCAATAAATTCAGGGATAGGAGCATCAGGAGGTTCGTCTCCCAATTCCATTGTTTCGTGAAAATCCATTGAATTTATCTCAGATGCCTCCTCATTAATTGGAGGTAAATCCGAATCATCCAACTTTCTCTTTTCAACATCAATTATTTGACTTGGTTTCAGAGCTTTTTTCCTTTTCCGTCGAGTGAATGGATCTTTCACACCATAAGTGCCATCAGGGTTCACGGAAGAAATTTTCAGCATTTCCGTAGATCCTGGTTTTTTACCTTGAACAATAACACAGTCGCCAACCGACAATCCAAGAGGATTTGTTGTGTCAGTAATCAGTTCTACTGGTTTTGGCTCTTCAACTCCTTGGCGACATTGATCAGCATTTTCTTCATCTTCTTGTCCAAAAGCAGGGCTAAGTTCAGTTGCGTCTTGCAAGTTCACCAATTCTTCCACCTCATGATCGTCCAGAGTTGCGGTAACCGTATTCATAGCGACAGGCTCCCCGAATTTGCCTTCATCTGGCTTCGAATTTATGCTGCGATTTGTGTTGTTTTTTACGACAACGTCATCTCGATTCATTTTTTCATTTACTTCAAGATGAGCTACGCTTGGAAGCTGTGAATCAGACTTTTCCCTGGCCTTCTTTTCTAACGCAGCTGCGTTCTCATCGTCTTGTGGTGTTTCTTTGGTTACTAATGGCTGTTGACGTAGGTAGTTGTTGTCACAAACCCTAATGTTCACGATGTGTTCGCTCTGGAGGTCCTTGTCTTCGTTTATATCTCCAACATTTCCTTTTGTGTCCATAAGTATGTCAGTAAAGCCATCGACATCTGTTTCCTGGATCACAATATCACCACAAAGATCGATTTCTTTTGAGTCCGAAACAGATTTGTCATTCGAGTTTATACTGTCGTCGGGTTTCACGTCAACTTCTTTGTTGATTTCATCTGTGCGAATGCTAGTCTCCAGAGGTTGACCTTCCTTGTTATATAGAGCCACCTTTGGTTGGGCATTAATATCGCTTGTCATCGCTTTCGTAGTATTGTCACTTTCTGCGGATTCTTCGGTAACTTTAATGGCTTCGATACGAACGACAGGTTCACTTTCTGGCGGCAGCGCAGCATCTACAGCATGCAATGCAGCATGATTTTCGCCATCGAAATTTTTAGCAACACCACCCCCGACCAAAATTTGATTCTTTTTCAAAGAAGAATTATCGGGCTTCGAGTCATCGAATTCTGCAAGGTCCCGAGTATTATTTTTGTTCGACTGATTTCTCTCAGTATTAGTTTCCCTTTCGGTGACTTCTCTTGAACCTTTCCCGACGATATTGCTGTTATCTTGTTTGTTTGTTTTCAACTCATCTTCAGCCATTGTTTCCTTTCTTTTACAATAGTCATTCCCAGTACCATCGTGTTCGGTGTTGCCTGCATCTACGGAATCAAGTACGTCATCTATTTGATCCGGTATCAATTCAATATCAGCGCTTGTGTTTCCGCCAACATTTCTACTGGAGTCCTCTATATCCACACCATTATCATGTATACCAGTTGTTTTACTTTCGAAAGCCGACTCCTCATCGCACTTCTCAGCTTTATCAGAAACACTGACGTCACTTTTTTGCGACAAAAGAATCTGCTTCTGATGTTCCTCAAATTTTTCAAGAGGATTGGATCCAACTGGGTGTTCCTCGAATCTTTCAGGAGGAACGACGCTGTTGACATCGTGATTGCAGGATTCAACATCATTATTATTGACTCCAACCCAGGAATCCTTGAATACCTTCGAAGACAAGTCTTTCTCGGTACCGTGTGATTTGTTTTTATTGGTTTTGGATTCGTCAGCCATTGGACTATCCTCTACAATATCCAACTCGATGTGATCTTCACTGTTCCTGCTCCCTGCTCTTTCCTGACGATGTTCCCCCGAAGCAATCGATAGATCTTCATGATTTGATTTTTCAATATATTTGTTATCGTCTAAATGACCATCACCTTCGTCTTCCGATGACTGAGCAGCTTCAGTTGATGTCTTAGACTTCATCCCGTCTACTATGTTTTCAACTTCAATATCCTCACCCTTGGCACCGGATATCTCTATATTTTCCGAACCAATATTTGATCTATCTTTCTCGTATTCAGTCATGGTTGGTACTACTTCAGGAGAAAATCCGCTAGCACTTGTACGCTTTTCGGTATCATCCTCTTCTTCGGTTTCCATACTTCTGTATCCCTCGGCAGCGTACTCATCGTCGTCAGCATATGAATCTACTCCAGCTTCGTCAGAAGGTGATTTCTCTTCGGAATCTGGTTGTACGTCATCTTCACAATTTTTTATTTCTTTGTCAGTATTCTCCAAAATGGGCTCCATTTGAGCTTTTTGAGCAAATTCCAGCAAGGTCTTTGCCTGCAAAGACTCGGAGGTTGGTATTCTTAGCTCAGACGAGCCTTCAGGGTTTTCCTCGAGCTCAGAGAACTCTGCAGTAACATCCTCTTCTTGCTCTGTGCGTTCGTCCGCCATATCCATATCGTCCGAAGCGGGTTCAATATCAGCTTGTCGCTCTGCATTCTCGACGATTACTCGAGATCCCTCTGAAAATGGACGTTTTGGCTCTCCATTCTCAACATCCGAATTTGTATCGCTTAAGCGTGGTTTCTGCTTCAACAAACGTTCATCTTCTTCGTCTTCAGTGTGAAAAGCTTCTGAAACTTCTTCCTCAGTGTAACCGTGTGTATCTTCAGGTTCATAGCCATCTTCGACCTGCGATGCGTAGCCCGCACCTGATCTCAATGCATCAGCACGGCGATCGGCCTGCGCTGTGCGGTTTGCCCTGAATCTCTCACTCTCATCTTCTTCTTCAGTTGTATCTCCGAATTCACCGCCGACTGCAGCAACTTCCGTTCCAACCTTTTCGAGGTTGATATTATGTTCGTGTTCGATATCAGTGGCATAGTATTCGTCAGCAGCATTCAGTTTAGATACACACTCCTCATTTCCAGCTTCATTGGGTTCAGGGGCCTCAACAGATGAAGAATGTCTTTTCTGGATGACTTCCGCCATCGACTTCTCAGGAGGAGTCTTGTCCGTTCCAGTGAAGCCCATGAATATAGTTGTATCCTCGACACTTGCACTGAGATCAGCATCATTACTATGGCAATCGACATCTACAACTCGATCGAGTGCTTCGTTCTCGCTGTCATTAACACCTTTGTTTTCTTTGTTCTTTTCTTGCCAGCTGTTACTTTGATCATGGCAAACGTTTTCAACGGTCGACTCAAGGTTGATGGAATTATCGAAACCTATATCACGACCAATGCGTTCACTATTCTCAGTAATACCTGTCTTAGTGACAATTTTTTTCAATTCTTCATCAACTTCATCGTTACCATGCCCAGATGGATGTATGTTGCTTTCATAGCGCGGGCCGAGATTCGTCTCTTCGCAAGTCACTGATCTGCTGCGATCATCTTCTTGGTCACTATCGTCGCCGGTCGCATTGAGTTTCTCTTGACTTGAAGCTTCCACTTTGTCATTATCCAGCACTTCAATTTCTTCGTAACGGTCACCATTGTCGCCCTCGGAACATTCATTTTTGTCGTCATCGGAATAAGTGTCGTCATCTACATCACAAATGACATCCTCGTCCTCATTGCCATCATAATAATTCTCGTCATCGTCACCATCGTCAGATACGTGACTATCGGCGTCACCCATGCCATCTTCATCTTCACTATTTATAACTTCATCATTACTGGCGTCATCATCATCAATTACCACTATTTCATTTCCGTCATCATCGGATTCGCGAAATTCTATTTCGTCATCCTCTTGGTCGTTGATATCAACATTCTGACCTAATCCATCCTCTTCACAGAAGGTATCTGCTCCAGCAGGTGAGTACGTCACCTCAGCTTCACCAACAGGTGATGATTCGTATGGATTAAATGCGCGGAATGAATCTTCACCTGATTCTTCATCATCTTCTCCTACCAAATCGTTTTCTTCTAGACATCCTGAAGACTTTGGACGAAGCGATGGGGATTGTGTCCTCTCCAAAATCAGTACAGCTTCAATGTGGTCGTCTTCACCTGTCGCCTCAGGTGCGGTATCAATAAGTTTCAATAGTTCAACGAGACCTGTTGTTTCGTCAATGAGCGTAGATGGAATCTTTTGCGTTTTCGACAAAAAATTAGATCCCCAAAAGTTCAAGTCTTTCGCTGAGCTTCCCCCTGGAATCTCTACAGGCCATGTTGTTTCCTCAACAAAAATAAGAATCGTACTTGAACCGAGTCCACAGATCTTAAGCAACAGTCGTAGCACAGTTTGCTGACAAGCTAGTGTGACGTACTGCTTTTCTTCCAACCTTGCATCCTCCAGTTCCCAAATTTTATTCGCGACGTCCTGGTAGAAATTCATCATAGTCAACCTGGCCTTTTGTGACATTCGAACCGCAATGTGGTTGTATAAAAAATCACGTTTCTTTAGGTATCCAGGTGAATCATCATTTCCGTCAAGAAAGAGCATGCCCTCTGCCAAGATATAATTCCACATATTCGACCATGCTTCATCTTTTATTTCTTCTCCCAGAAATGGACTTGAATCGATTTTATGAGTGAGTCCTGCAGCAAGCTCCTTCTGGTTTCTTCGAAGCCAAATTTGAATATGAACTAGTAATGGAAAGCCTGGAGATGTAACCTCTTCTGGAACGGAGTTATTTCTGGCAGCTTCTTTTCTCATCCGCCTTCTCGTCTCGTGTTCTTGCAGCTGTCTTTTGTGGAGGTCATCAATAAATCGATTGGGGTGTTCTTGACTAATACAGCTAAAGCAAGCGTCTATTATTTCTGACTTATAGTCTTCGGACCAATAATACCATTTTGCATCAAGTGGATCCAAAATTAGCCTGCAAATTGAGGCTCGCAGATTATATAAATCCAATCCTGTAGCATCCTGTAGGATAGACAAAATAGAGAGACCATAGGAGCTGCATGATGAAAAGCAAAGAGAACAATTGCAGTACGAATAAAGATGTTCAGTCATCAGTTCACGTTGGCAGGCAAATGCAAAGTAAGACTCGTGCACATTTGTCAATCGTTTCTATACTCACTCGACTCCAGAAAGATATCTTTTGAAAAAATCCGAAGTAGAAAGGCCAGACACGGGGGTCCCGCTACCGATATTAGCTAATACGACCAATGTCAATCCTGCCATAATATCAGTTTCGGCAAATGTTTTGAATATTGACTGTAGATCCTGGGTCATCTCGTACAATTCTTCAAAATCTGATGCGATTCCTGTCTCTTTCAGCAGAGAAATTAGTAAGTAAACCGCTGGAAGTTTGTAGCGGCCTTTAAGAAGGTTGGGAAAACCTACGGGGCTAGAACGGCTTAGCCCCAAACGTCTTCGTTTTGAAGGACGCTTGGACTCAGCATCAGCCTGAAATGATAGCAATGATTTCGAAGAGAAATTCTCACAGCCTTGGAAAAGCTGCTTCCAGAACTTCATTATGTTCGACGTATACTTCATGTCCGTGTCGCTGGCACAATAGTCGAGCGAGTCCAAGCCAGTCGAGTTCACCACAGTCATGACCGGAATATCAGGCAAAATCCATTTGATAATACCGGAGTTTTTCTTCCTGCCAGATGCATATATTTGCTGCAGCACATTCCAAAGCAACTTTGGACTGACAGGATTCGGATCATCGGTGCCCTTCTCACTTGTTCTTATCAAATTTTGCATCCAAGTGAAACAACAAACTTGGAAGAAATGATCTTTTGTCATATGACTCTTTTCATTAAAAAACTCACGAGAGCAATCATTATGGAATTTGAGGAGACCGTCCAACGTTGTGCGGTTATCGGTGTCGCTGCCGGTGCTCACGTCGTTCACAGGAACGGAAATCATCATCTCCTCCCACCATCCATAGTCGCTACTATCAGAGATTATTCCAGGCATCGATATGAGTGAATATTGAATCTCAAATTGGAAGTATCAATGGAAATTATGTCACGTGTGGCTGCAGTTCTTGCTGTCAGCTCTGATAGTGTTTTGAGATTCAGTTTTACCTCGGAAATGATTAATCGATAGATTTTTGATTTGAAAAACTGCTGATATTTCCATCTTCTACGACCTACCCGACGCGAGTACGGTATTGTACGATAGGTACGATACTCGTAGGAACTAAACACCCTCGCTATTCGTTTTTTCGAGAACTCTCAATTTTTTGACTCGATACAGTTTCTTGCGTTGGTCTCAAGCAAACTATATCGTACGGTACGTGCCGTACCAACACGTACGTATCGTTACCGCGTGACGTACCGTATTCTACAAGAAATTGTAGAAATCTCAATCAACTTGTCTGGCGGTCGTACGAGTACTGTATTTTGTACTCCAACTTCTCCAACCGTTCTGTACTACCAGTACAATTACCGTACGGTACAGGAACCGGAAGAGTATCATATCGTACCAATACGTACGACTACGAGTACAAAGTACGTACGTACCAAGTACGTACTCGAACACAATTGATCGGTTGGTTGATTGCAGAGCGACTCGATAGTAGAGCTATTAATGGCAAGTCCCGTACTGGCAAGGTATTGGCAATTCCCGTACAAATGCTAGTAGAAAAATTTAGCTCATTTTTACAGGTAAATCCCGTTATTTTAACCGTCAGTGAAAAAAAACAGTTAAAAATTGTCATTCAACTTCTGAAAAAATTCTGGTGCGGAGAAGAATGGCTGAGGGCCGCGCCAGGATTTATTCAGGAACTGAACCCATTTCACCCATTGTTGCTTTGCCTGATTTTTTTCAGAATTACGAGTCTCATAATTTTAAAACTGAGCAGTTTCTTAAAACTGAGCAGCGTCATCATTCGTAATCTGTAGTATCAGCATACTCTGTAGTAACAGCAACTTGTATCAGCAACTTGTAGCAGCAACTCGTATCAGCATCCTCCGTACTATCAGCATCCTCCGTACTATCAGCATCCTCCGTACTATCGTCAGCATCCTCCGTATCAGCATCCTCCATATCAGCATCCTCCGTATCAGCATCCTCGTCCGTATCAGCATCCTTGTCTGTATCAGCATCCTCCATATCAGCAAATTGTATCAGCATCTGTATCAGCGACTCATACCAGCAAATCACTGTGGTGCACTCTGTATCAGCGACTCATACCAGCAAATCACTGTGGTGCACTCTGTATCAGTGTCTCATAAATTGGTTGATTGTTGCTTTTTTGGAAGAACCAATGTTAAAATTCCATGGGATCAAGAACATCCTCTTGAGACAATAATTGTACACTTCTCCGATTGCTGTCCTTATGATGACATGGCCCACTTCTGTGATGAGGATCATCACGTCCATGACGAAGATGCTCTCTTCCTGCCATTGGAGCTGGCCGGTCAGTAGACAAATTAGCTTGGCACTACACCCTTCAGACAGATTGGTCTGTGATGAATCAATTGTGCCTTAAGAATTGGATTGACTTGAATGATAAATGGTTGATTGTTGAGTCTCTGCAAACAACACAAGCAAACAACGCAGATCACTTGAGCCTTGAGTGTTGTATTGCAAAACACTTGAGTCTCCGCAAACAACACATCCACAAACCACAAAGAACAATGCAAATAAGTTGAATACAGAGATCCACACCGCACGCAGAATTGCTTGCTTGAGTATCGAAGCCTCCACACACCGGTCCCTTGAGTATCCGCAAACACAATGACCGTTTGCTTGAGTATCCGCAAACACAAACGTGAATCGCTTGAGTATCAAAGCCTCCGCACGCCGGTCCCTTGAGTATGAGACAGTTAATTGCTGTTTCACTTGAGTATTGAAGCGTCTGCACGCCAGTTCCTTGTGTATTGAAGCGTCTGCACGCCAGTCGCTTGAGTATGAATGAACACTTGCGGATGAGTATGAATGAACGCTTGCTGTTTTGCTTGCGGATGAGGCAATTTGATGTGTTTGCTTGTATTTTGAAACGCGTCCACAGGCCAGTTGATTGAGTATCCACAAACGCAAACGCGTCCGCAGGCCAGTTCCTTGAGTATCCACAAACGCGAATCGCTTGGGTATCCACAAACGCAAACGCAAATCGCTTGAGTATCCGCAAATGCAACAGTCGTTTGCTTGAGTATGAGACAGTTAATCGCCGTTTCGCTTGAGTATTGAACGACTGTTTGCTTGAGTATGAATGAACGCTTGCAGAAGAGCAGGAATGAACGCTTGCTGTTTTTGCAGGGATGAGGGGATTTGATGTGTTTGCTCCTATTTTTGTTGGTGGAGGTGCGGCATTGGATGGAGGTGCCTCCATACTGATTCGCTGTAGGAAAATACATACGTAGACGCTCGTGAATGAGACACATTGTACTCCCACTGTCCAATAGAACCTTGAATGTATTCATTGTCGGTAAGTCTTGGATGGCTTTGCATACTAGGATGACCACTGGTAGTACRTCTTGCATGTCCGGTGGTGTTTTCAGAGCTCTCAAGGTGGTTGCCGATGGGTTCYTAAGAGCTTCATCATTATCAAGACCATAGAGTTCAAAGCTATCTCCTGATGATTGAGTGGGAGGCAATGGAGGCAATTGCAATGCAAAGTAAGCCTCGTGTGTATGTCACCACTGTTGATTTGGGCCTTGTCCTTGGAATCGGACCGTCGATCCTGGATTGCTGTGGGACTGTAATGACACATGGCTTGGAGGACCACCGCTAGAATTAGAGTTGTGATAATTCTGACTTTGGATTGACTGTGGTTGGAAGTTACTCATGTTCCCGTGCTCATCCACGTCACAGGAGTAGGTTCCTGGTGTGAACCTCTTATTGTTGTTGTTTCCGTTGGAATTGTTCTGGTTCCTTTGGTAATTTCCCTGGTTACTCTGATTTCCTCCATTGTTATTGTTGTTTCGATTGTAACCATATTTATTTGCACGACACTCACCCCAAAGGTGTTGTCCTTTGTGTTTCCTACAAGGCTGAGCATTGAGCCTGTTCCTCTTTTCTTCTGGGGTCTCGTCCTGACTGTTATTCCTATTATTATTGTTGTTTTTCCTTTGTCTCCMATTCCTTCCTTGTCCTGCTCTGTTATCATCTTCCGCTGGTCGTTTCCTTGAACGCTGTTGCTGTTCTTCATCTGCAATCCCCTTTTGCTCTGTCATATACTGCACAATCTGTTCAATGCTGTCATC